AAAAAAAAAAAAAAAGAACAGACAGGCATCTAATAATCAACAGTACAGCCAGTTCTTTTTGCACAAACCTTTGTTGCCTTGTTTTGATCTCTGGGAATTTCCATTATTTTGATTCTTTTTAAAACTTTTTTTTTCCAGTTCAGAAAAATGCTGACATGCTCCATTAATAGCAAGAAAGATTTTCTTTTCCTCATGTCTGCTTTTGTGTGTTGTTTTATGCTGAAATGTTTGTGTCTGGAGCACGGATACGTATGTTTTTAACCCCACTGACTACACCCCTTTTAGCAGGACTCTTGACCCATAATTACGGCTGAATCTGTACGTGTTGTATAAATGGAACGGGCGGAAAATCTTGGAGCTTTTTTGAGTCATCACAGACAAGGCTATCCCCAGAGCAAAGTGAAAATAAATAAATAGATAGATAAACAAACATGGGGCCAAGTCACGTGGCCGAGTTGCCCGGGCCCCAGCTGATGACGGTGTCCCCGGCTCAGTGCTTCACAGATTAACATTGTTATCTGCACAACTCTCTAATAAGGCTCTTTCCTATCTGCTTGATATTTATGATGGATAATGCCCATTTTCCATTTTCTTTTTCCCCCCAATTTTTTCGCTCATGATATTGCAGCTTTGAATTATTCTGTGGTAAAATTAATGAGAAAGTAGATTTATGGGTTTCATTTGTTTGTCAATTCGAAAATTAATTGGGTGTTAATTTTAGCCATCCCCTCATCAGTGCCGCTTCCAAGCATGCGCGCATTACTTTGCATTCATTGTAGCCTTTCTCTCCTTTATTGTGGGTCACTAGTTTTGCATACATTAAAATAGCCCCGCGGCTCATTCTCTTGATTACTTTTGGAGATGCCATGCATTTGGAAATTTACGCCTTTCCGTTATAATTATGAAAATTTTGCATGGAATGACAGTGCATGTATAATAGCCATTACTTTCCCTCCTTTTATGTAGCTTTGGAAAAAAAGAAAGCAAGGCCCTTCTTTTTTTCTGCATGTGGAAAAATGCCTTTTATTTGAAAAATAAGTGGGGGTGAATAACGTCAGCCCATGGTTTATTTCAAATGGCATTTAATTTCGCCCGAGAATGTGTGTTTCTAATTGGTGTCTCAGAAGGGGAGTTGGTGCGAGCAAGGGCCTGTAGATGGAGTTGTGGCTGGCTGCATCCCATCCCACAGTATTCCTCTTGCTCACTCCTTGTTTAGAAAATCCCATTATGGAGGGAGGCCGTGCCAGACTGGAGGGGTGAGCCGGGTCAACATCTGTCTGGAGGGAGAGGAGGGGGGCCGGCTCTAGCCCCAGCCCAAGCCCCAGCCCAGAGAACGGGGCCTGTAGGCCGGGTCCAAGCTGCTCAGACAGGCCCCTGAGTGTGGGGGCGTTGTGACACACAACTGAACCAGCACAGGCCACAGTGTCAGATGACTCACTCGGATATGCTTCTTGCAAGGAGGGCTTCTACAGGAGAGGAGATGTAAACCATAGTGAACTTTTGGGGTTTGATTTTTTGCTCTGGTACTGTTTTAACTCACCGTAGCCCACAACCGCTACTGATTACACAGAGCTGGGAGACTACCCCTGAGAACCATGATTTGAAAGAGCAGTGCTGTTTATTTTTTAATAATCCCATGTCTAGATTATTATCTCACCTATGCTCTGTAAATATTCTTATGTGACAAGTTGTCAACCTCAATTTCCTATCTGTCAGCCTGAGTGTGTGTCCCCGTGGTGTCTGGGTGTGTGTCTGCATCTTGTTTAGATCTGGATCTCTGGAGACACTGTGCCGTGTAGTTGAGCACATATTAATTCGCATTGGCCCTCCTATTACACGCCTTAAATGCAACACCATAAATCTGCATTTAGTTCCATTTTCACCTTCTTTCATGATGAGGGCCAGTGTTTTAAAGGCATTTATTCTGCTTCATATAAATAATTAATCAGCCAAGTTAATTCGCTTTTGCCTGACTTGGTCAGCTTCATTAACCGCCCTGGAATTGGGAGGCTAGACGCGTTGCACCACTGAGGCCTGCAACCAACGCACAATAGCTGTAAATCATTCCACTGATTTGAGGAATACAGGCACAGATATGCACCAGTGTCACTGGCACTCATCCCCAGAGAGACAAGAGGGGAGGGAATGGAGTGGGGGGGGTGGCATGTCTGTCTGGCTTTTGTGTATCCAAAAGCAGACCAGGGGATGTAAAATGTAAGCAAATAGCTGTATATTCACATTTAAGACTTTAAGACTTTAAGATTACTCCTGTCATATCTTAACATAAAGCAAGAAATCATGCAATCAATGCCAATGTTTGTGTGTTATCCTTATGATTTAGATATAGTTATGAAAGACAACATTTTTTACAACAACTCAAAGGGGTTTAATTATATTCAGACCTGCATCTTGGTGTTAATTGAGCACCCCTGAAGGATTTGACTGTTTTCACTCGGCCTCAGATTGGATGTTTCTCATGGAGATCCTTTGGCAGGCCTCACACAGTCGCCCTGTTTCCCATTAAAAAGCCATTCTGCCGTGGTTCTTCTGGGAGCCATGCAAGTAAATATATCCATTTCCATAGAAAGTGTTTTGTTTTGGAGGTCCAGTGTTTTCTTGGGCTCCTCTCCTCTCACTCAACTCAGGTTGGGTTCCTCTTCGATGCGTGCTGGACCCCAACCCCTCTGCCTCACCCCTGCATATGCCCCATAATGGGGAACACAAACAAAACCTGAGTCCCTCTCCGTCTTCTCAGCCCAGTATGGACTTGTCATAGGATCTGCACCGGAAAAGACAAAACAAAGGAGCAGTTCATTATTCTGCGGCGAAGCGGCCTGTGGGAGTGTGTGTGTGTGTGCGTTTGCCTCATTGCATATGCTACAAGCAAACAAACAAGACACAGGGAAGCACAAACCAACAGGGAAACCTGCAATAAAAGTGAAATTGTGTGGGAAGGATATGACAGATGTTTATAGTTTGGCCCAGAGTTAAAATGCGACCTCATTGCTGTGTGTTTTAACAGCTGTTTCTCTCCGTCTCTGTCCCTGTTTTCTCCCTTTCAGGTCTTTAAGTCATGATGCAAGAATCTGGGACGGAGGCGACAAGCAACGGACCAGCCAATCAAAATGGAGGAGCCAGCGTGGAGGGCGCGTCCAGGGAGGGCCGACCCAAGAGCGCCACGCCGTCAGTGGAGGTGACTGCAGCTGACCTCCTGCATCTCCAGCAGCACCAGGTACACCAGTCCTCCTTTCACACCTGCCTTCACTTTATGAAGCCATGTCAACAGCAGGCCCAACCCCCCTCTTAAAGTGCCACTTAATATTTAATTCCACCTCAAAGTACATCTAGTACATAAACACATTATTATTATTATTTATGTATATTGAGGCCCGTTTTGAATATTTAAAGAAGGGGAAGTGCTCTCTCGGTGTGATTGTGTTTGGTTGTGAGTGTGTTTATCGTAGCATGCAGCATCTGCATTTTGGTCAAATATTTATCATGCTGTTCTGACATATTTTAGTATGTAGGTGCCACAGGATTTTGTAGACAGTTAAGAAACCATGACGTCCAATGGGATGACAGCATTTTCCCCTGGCTCATTGTAAACACACCTCACACTCACAACTAATGCCGCACTCCGCCGCGTCAACCAATGAGGTGTGGAGATGCGCGCCCGGCGTTGTCGTCGATGGGGCCTGAAACATTTTCACCATCTCAGACTTGAGGCAAACAGACAAGCTCTTTCTGTTGGTGTCAGCGTTATGTGTGGCACACGACAGCGCGTTTAAGGAAACAACATTGAAAAGATCAGTGTGTCTTCTGCTATCTCGGTCTATCCGACAGGACGGCCAGGGTTGTTGTCAGGAGCTGTTTGGCGATGATGCACAGGCTCCGCGTCGCTGTCTGTTGTCACAGCACATCCATCAGTGTTTGCACAGGGAGGGCAACAACACTGCAGCGTGGAATGCAGGAGACATAGCGCTGTAACATATATAGGGCTGAGCAATAATTCAGTATTATCATTTATCATCTTTCAGCAGAATAACGTTATGATGATATGAGATTGTAACGCAGTGATACAAAGTTTTGTTGTCAGAAGTGATGATAACCAGAAAATTCACTCATTGCTCATTCTGACAACACAAAGTATGAAACATTTCTTGTAAATAGTTTAGCATTCTGAAAAGTCATTGCTTGACATTTCACTTGATGTAATATGGAGGTTAGTGCAGTGATAACAGTTGTACACATACATTTTATCGTGGTAAGAAAAATCATTCATTTCAAGTGTATTGCGCAGCCCTACTTATATCATTTGAATAGTTCACTTGAATAGTTCACTTGAATAGTAATATGACATCATAAGATTGCCTTTATATTGTGATTAGTCATACATTTTAATTATTTCCCCCTTTAACCCAAGCTTTATTTAATTGTAGAGTAGAGCGATGTATGGATAATTGGTAGAGGAGCAAATATACAATATAGGCCAAATATTTTTAAAGTCATTGTCATGTTGTGTGCTTTGCAACAGGATGCCTCTGTTAATTGCATTTTTCAGGGTATTAAGTGAGACAGTATGGGAATAAATACCAGTGAAGAAGTGTAAGCTGATCAGTAAGCAGAGATGGTGTGTCAGTGTGTGTCCTGCTCCTCAGTCTCGGTGTTTTTAGGATTTACCAGATCTGCTCTTCATCCCCACTACCCCGGCTCCAGACCCCAGTCCTAGACCCCACCTCCCGCCCGTCTTTTTTTCCAGCTCAAAATGAGCATGTCGTCAGTGAGAAAATCACAGCCATACTGAATTCATTACTGCAGTAGTCACACAAAACCATGGATAAAATTTCAATAACTGCAGGCCACAGTTGAGTAAACAGTTGCACTGAAACTTAATTCCTGTTGACTTTTCCTTCATTCTTTGCCAGGGGCACATTCTGATTCGCTCTGCAAAGACAACAGGGTTACAACTTTGATGAATTGACGCAGGGGAGTGAGAGGGGGAGAGAAAAGTGTCATGGATGTGCACTTGACACCAAGAAGGGATGGAAATAAAGCCTCCCCGCTAGAATAGAGCCAGCCGTCCAAGCATGCTCCCTGTTTTCTAGTCATCCAGAAAGAACTATTACTCTCCAGGATCTGCCCTGGCATTTAAAGGAAGGAAAAACGAGCAGCTCCCTCCCTCCCTCTCTGTTCAGTGTATTACAGTTGCATTTTCTGCCCTCTGCTTTCTACGTGGTAAATAGCAGGCGCTTTTCGCTTTATGCCTTTTGAACAAATCCAGTGGTTAATTCCTGTGGCCTGCGGTTGGTGTTAAAACAGAGGGAGGCGTATTAATTGTTGTGTGTGATAAATGGCGCATGGATGGGGACGAAGGACGAGATGTCTCACTCTCAGCGCCTGACACTGGGCTTTGATAGGCTACTTACCAGAGTAGTGTTACTGGGAAGGCAGGCAGGCAGTCTTTTTATTCTCCCATTAGACTAACCCAGGATTTTCACTCATGCACCATGAACCATGTTAATTGTCCCCAGGGCATTACGATCTTCGCTCAATTACTTGATAACTTTTTACTTTTGTGGCATTTCACAGTCTTTCTTTTAAGTTTTATTTGCGGCGTGTGCTAATATGCCTCTAACTGACACACTGAGGGTTTTTTCTTTCTTTTTTTTCGCATCCTTTGTTCTCCACAACATCCAAGATGCTATTACCCCTTTAGGTGATGCAAAAATCAATCTAAAATCTTCTCTGACTTAAAGTGCAAATGTCTGAGAGTCCCCTGAGTGAGCAGGAACAACAAACCTGGCAGTGGCATATCATTTATTCTTATTAGGGAACATAACTATGAAAGACAGTCCTCATTAATAAAGATGGGGGATGAAATAATTGTAATCTGTTTGATCATCTTGATTCTGACAGGGGAATTCATCTTGTAGACTAGTCAGATTTGGGGGAAGTGGACCATAAGCTTGATTTAAGCATCTCTATTAGTAAGTCAAACACTGTTTGTTAAGAAGTAAGGATGAAAAGGAGGTGCTGTCTCTCTCCTTTTTCCCTCTACGACACAGTGGAAATTTTGCACTTTTTTAGGAACTCAAAGTAATAAGTGTGGTGTTGTATTGGTTAGAGATTAAATGCACTTATAAATGTTTGTTTTGCATGTCGTAGCTTTTTCAGGCTGTGCACACTTTTTTGCGGTCAATATAATATATGAGTGTTTCTTTTACTAAGCTCATGAATATAATATTTTTTTCACAACGTGTGTTGCCCCAGAACATGAGTGTTGTTATTGTGTTATACTTTTTGTTTGTGTTGCAGAAGTTGTGGTTTTAACGTTATCCTCATGAGGAAGTGAAGATACTGACTGATACTGAGTGAAAGCAACAACAAAAACAATAGTATGAAAGAGGAGTGTTTTGCAATAACCTCTTTTGTGATTTAAATGATTTTGCAACAGGAAGTTGTGCTGTGGTAGCTGCAGTCTAATATACACGCTGTGACAGTAATGATGTTAGGGACTTTGTATTAGCTTTGGAGCTGCTGTCTTCAGGACATTCAGCTCCCTACACATATTTCCTGTGAAAAATGGTCAATTTTAGCAAAGGCATTTGTAACATCTTGCATGTTTAACCGTGCAAGTGATTCCTTCACTTGAAATTTGGTTCAACTGATACAACTGTAGAGCATTAAATATTAATATCATGTCTTTTAGAAGTTTAACCAAGTTAGAGCAATTTCTAAAATATCAGCCTGTCTCTTCTTCTCAGCGATACTGTACAAATATACCCCAACAATATCTCAAAAGAAAAAGAAATAAAACAGGGATGAATAATTGCTTTTCTTTTATTGCATACACATCCATCCAGCCTGCTTTGTAAAACAAGTTCCTTTAAAGCTTTGTTACATATCGCCAGATAAGGCCAGCCAATTATTTTTCTTCTTCCTCCCTTCCTGCGTGGTTGAGGTGTCCGTCATGTTTGCGTGTGCAGAGAGGAGAGAATGACACGCATAACAGTGGCCACAGAAAGAGCTGAGCGGGCACAGGTTTCCTGTTTGCATAATGCAAGGCTTACATGGTCCCTTGTGGAGGCTTGAGAAGGTGGAAATGCAAGTCTCAGCCACCGTTGCCAAGCCCCGTTCTGCCTGAGCTTCAGGTGCTAGATGATAAGCCTCGCTATCACAGCACTCAGACAGGTACACACACTGAGACACAGAGTATATACAGTACACATATAAACACATACATGCTCAGACAGAAATAGAGGCCCAGAGGCCAGATCTGCCAGTGCAGGTCCTGCTGGTTTCTGGTGTCCGGTCCACATTACGGGCTAATGGTCAGACTGAGGGACCTAACAGCGTTAGGTCAGAGAGGAGGTCAGAGAGCATCCGCTGCCTCAGATCTCTGCTAATCGCATGTACTCTGCCGCAGAGCTGAGGGCAAGAGGAAGAGAGAGCTATGCCTGGATTGAAATATGGTGTTTCACAAGAACAACGCAGCCTTATCGCCACACTTTTGAATTGAATTCCTGCCAGTATCTCTATATTTGCTCTACTGCAGAATTATATATCTGTGCAGCGCAGTTTCTGAATATTTGACATGTGTGATAAAGGCTCCTTTGCCCCTGGGTGCTTTTTGACCAATAGCTGTAGTGCATTATCCTACTGAATGTGGGCTTCCTTCCTGAGCTATGTGTCATCTAACTCATGCACACGTACAGTTTTGTGCAAGTGTACATGTACAGAGGGGATCGCACTAAAAGAATGTGAGCCCATGCAGCGTTGTTGTGCATACTCCTCCATCTCTAGGAGCTCTCAGGTATCTTCATGTATACTGTTCATATTGTCACAGGAGGCCGAGCAGAGGCTCCAACTTATTGGAAAATCTGGCGGAGAGGATAACATCAGTGTTATGACACTGCATATTGCCCTAAATTGCTTTATTGGTAAAATGATAGTGCTCCTCCAATTTGAATAATTTTATGGAATCCCTCACAGAACAGTTTAATTATGTTATCACACAACTGGCAACATCTGTCTTTATACCACAGCACATGACAGTTTTATTACAGGCTGAATTTCTTTGCTGGTTCTGGCAATTGATGTGTGATCTGATTAATAATCACACAGATGGAGGTGAAAATTGAACAGTGATGCGCTGCTATGTCGAAAAAAAGGGGAAAATAATTATTAAAGGAAAAAAAAACACACAGCCTGTGTCAGTGAAAATATCAGGAC